AGGAATAGACGCCTGTTCTCTTTAAAAAAAATAAAGGAATTGACTTTATGCATGTGTTTCTAGGTAGGATCAAATGCATAAAGTGTAAATTTAATATTAAAAAAAAAAAAAAAAAAAGCTTTATGTGTTTGTTGCACATAAAGTATCTTTCTGCGTTCTATATGTGTCTGTTGTGAAACAAACACATAAAACCTTTTACAACAAATGTATATTATCATGAGCCCTGTTGTCATCATTGACTATAACTAGTACAGAAACAATAATATATATTTGCTTACAACAAATCTATATTATTGTTTCTGTACTAGTTAGCGATGGCAACGGGGCGAGGCGAGAGCGGAGAATGGGGTCCCCATCCCCGTCCCCAAAATATCTCCACATTCTTCAATGGGCGGGGATTTTCGGAGATAAATATCTCCACATTCTTCAATGGGCGGGGATTTTTGGAGATGGGAAATTCCCGTCTCGTTTTTTTTATTTATGCCTATAAAAAAAAGAGACTAATATTATTAAAAATTCATATTGTTAAGCTTGTCTAATACTGTTTCTTTTGTGTACTAACATTTTTAGTCCACACAAATTACCAACAATTTTTATGCACCCAATTAGTGGCTTGGGTCTTAATTGCCTGGAAAGTCCACACAAATTACCAACATTGTTTGTCAAATTGCGGAAACAAAAAAATACATCATTTTACTCAATAAAACAAGTGAAGAAACTAAGGTACAGTCAGCATGAATGCTAAGGAAACTAAGGTACAGTCAGCTAAACAATCAAACAAACAAGTGAAGAACTCAAATAAGTAGGACTTAGGAGGAATTGAAGAAACTATCAAACTAATTCCTTGGACCCTTAGAGTAGTGGACTGTGGACCTAAGCAGTAAGGCAGACGACCAGCGACGAGCATACATAGGACGATGAGGGAGTGTGGGCGGCAAGGGTAGAGGAGAGGAGGGTTGGGTCTGCTCACGGCTGGGAGAATAAGAGAGGATTGAGGAGTAAAGCCGTAAAAGACTGCTAGGGTTAAGCTACTTAAAAATTTTAGTTTTAAAGTTTTATTATTAATATTATACATATATATTATAAAGTTAATATTATATATATATATATATATATATATATATATATATATATATATATATATATTAATTTAACGGGGATTCGGGGACGGGGTGGGGGCGGGAAATGACCCACAATCTTAAAGGGAAAAAAAAAACCAATGTTGTGCTTTCTTACATTCTATAAAATAAAGAAATTTTTTTTTAAAAAAAAAAACTTCAACTGAACACAACCTTTTTTAGTTTATTTTTTATTTGTTATATTTGTTTAGAGAAATGAAAATTTTCATTTAATGGTAGGTACCATTTTTTTATTGAATGTTCACTCATATTGTTTACTTTGAAACGGTAAAATTAGCACTTTATTTATAAGAAAATGTTAAACACGTATACAGTTGTCACTCACAAAACAATTACCTAATAGTGCAGCAAAATCATAGACTAGCCTACTTTTTTAAAAAAATATTTAAACTTATGCAGTATGAAGTTCCGAGTTGTTTGTGAGTGATAAAAATATGGATATATAGCATGGTTATTTTTGTTTTTTAGATTTCAGTATTTTCGGTGCACTCCCGTTTAAGTAATGATTGTTAATTTCTCACATAATTAAACAAAAAAATGTGTAAATTAGGAATAAAAAAATATATTTGTTTAATTACTTCCTTTGTCTAGTTTTTCCTATCATATTTAATTTTTATTGGTCAAACCAATTCTTTCTCCTTTGCTTATTTTTTTAATTTAATTTTTAAATATATAAATTGTATATATTAATACTAAAATTAATATTAGAAAAAAATTGAATTCAAAATAATTTCATTCAAATTTTGTTCACACCAAGCACATCGTGTTCAGATGATACCCTTATGGCTTTCTTTGAGATAATGCCACAAGATCGAATCTAAGTGATAAAATATAGACTCTTTGAACTCTAACAAATAGAAAAAATATAGAACAGATATTACTTCGTAATAGAGTCAATGTACTAAAAAAGAAAAAAAAGGGATGGAAGGAAGGTTCTCTTTGTGTTTCTAGGTTCCGGTATTTTCCAATGGGTCGTTAATTTTACAAGTTGGATTTTATGCAAATACCATCAAACCACCGCCCATTGCTTTCCCTCTTTCCCATATGCTTCAATGCTTACTTATTCAAATACCAACTTCACCTTTTACCATTTTCCCCCTCCGATCATGCCTAAATTCCAACGTGCTTTGCTTATTGCCGCTCCGATTGCTGTCTTCGTTGCTCTGCTACTCACCTCTGCAAACTTCCCTCTCTTCCACCGCACTCACAACCCTTGCAACTGCTCTCAGGTACTCATCAATTTTCTCCCATTTTATACATATACTTCAAATTCGTTGTCTTTTTTGTGATGGCCATTTCTACTTTTTTGATCGAGTGTAGGAGAGTAATGAGTATTGTGGGGTTGTGGAGGACTGTTGTTGTGATTTCCACACTGTGAATCAGCTCAATCAGGAAGTGTTGTTTCCTCTTCTTCAAGATATTGTCAAAACTCCCTTTTTCAGATACTTTAAGGTTCGTTCGTATCCATTATATTGCAGCAGTTTATCAGCTTCTGTAATCTAATTCAGTTTAATTTGTATAATTGTATTATCCATTTTATGTGTTGCTTCACTGAAGTTATTTTTAATTTAATTTTTCATAATATTTAGTTTAGCATTAATATACAAAATTTATATATTTAAAGTATTATTAAATTTAAAATAAATACAAAATATTTAAGAAAATAAACAAATAAGAAAAAGTTGGTTTGACCGATGAATAGTAAGTAGGAAAGATAAAATGGGACCGATGGAGTATTTTTAAATTAAAATGTAATATTTAAGGTTGAATAGTTGCTTATGAGAAAAAATGTAATACGGAGTACTGATCATGGATAAATTGTTTATTTGTTAAAGTGTAATACTTTTTATGAAAAATGTGAGTTTTGATGAAAAATGTATTACTTTTAAATCAAAATATAATATTAAGAGTTGAAAAGTTACTTATGATGAAAATCGCAATACTTATGTGGGGAAATGTAATACTTATCAAAAACCTGATTCGTCTCACGGATCCTCATAAGAGAATTTGACTCGGAGTGTAATCTCCAGACTCCCAGCTGCTAATATTTGGTACTCTGCATCCTTGTGCATTTTGTGTGATCCAGGTGAAGTTATGGTGCAATTGCCCATTCTGGCCTGATGATGGCATGTGTCATTTGCGGGACTGTAGTGTATGTGAGTGTCCTGAAAATGAGTTTCCTGAACCATTTAAGAAGCCTTTCAATCGCGGTGATTTGTCAAATAATCTTGTCTGTCAAGAGGAGAAGCCCGAGGCGGCTGTAGACCGTAGTATAGACACGAAAGCGTTCAAAGGCTGGATAGTAGAAGATAATCCGTGGACGTTTGATGATGAGACAGATGATGGTACGTCTTTCATTGTTCTTGTTTCTTGACTTCACATGAATAAATAAATAAATAAATAATAATGTGCCTCCTATAACAGTACTTTCCGTTATTATCACATCTCAACCTGAAGCTTTGATTTATATTCTCTGCAGCTGAATTGACATATGTAAATCTTCAGCTGAACCCTGAACGGTATACTGGCTACAAGGGTCCATCTGCTTGGAAAATTTGGGATGCTGTCTATACGGAGAATTGCCCCAAATGTGAGTAACTTTTTATTTGATTCTTGTTGAGTATAGATTGTGTTTTACTTAGTTAACCAGTCATTATTGGGGAGTTTCTTTGTAAAAGATTGGCGTGTTTTGCAGATCCATCTATGGAACTTTGTCCAGAAAAAAGAATATTGTACAAATTAATTTCTGGTCTCCACTCTTCCATTTCCATTCACATTGCTGCTGAATACTTGCTTGATGAAGCAACCAATACAGTATGTAAATCTTTCTGCTTTTGCTATTTCCTATTGACATATCTATGAATCTCCATAGTTAACTTTTCTATGGTAACCCATGGGAAAATTCGGTAACAGTTATAACTGTCATGCTGGAAACACTTTCCCATAAAATGTCTTTTGCAAAACAAGGGATCTTAAAGGAAACTTTTTAAGTCACTTTATCGTGTATTTCCTGTCCACAAAATGTTTGCATAAGATCTTTTCTTTGTGGCTTCTTCCACATTTTCTTACCAGAAACTGACCTTCCAAGTCCCACCATAAGATTCACAGATAAAAACATGATTCATTACTTGGATTTGCACCCTCTGGCATCATTCTTGCTTTAAGATTTTCTTTCATTTTATATGAAAATGATTCTATTCTGACTGATATCGGTACCCCAAGTGATTAAATAGATGAAAGCAAACTCCTTTGGGTGTGCTTAGGTCCGTACTTTAATGTTAAAATATTTGTGCATTTGTATCCTTCATTATGTTTGCATTTATCTGAAAACCTATAACCCCAACAACTCCTAAACCCGAGAGAAAAAAGACTCCAAGACAATCTTTTGACTCTTGTTCTTTATCCTTATTGTCATAATATTTCTATTTTTGTTTTTCAGTGGGGACAAAATCTTACGGTGATGTATGACCGTGTCATGAAATACCCAGATCGTGTCAAAAACTTGTACTTCACTTATCTTTTTGTTCTACGTGCGGTGACAAAGGCTAGTAATTTTAAGCTTTTAGTCGTCTTTTTTTTTTTTTTGAAATTTGTAGCAAAAAGCAGGAAAGTAAACTGTTGTTACATATTTTTTAGGCAGCAGATTACTTGGACCAAGCTGTATATGATACTGGAAACCCTGAGGAGGACCTGAAAGCACAATCTTTGATGAGGCAATTGCTTTATAATCCTAAATTGCGAGCTGCCTGTCCAGTACCTTTCAATGAAGCTAAGTTATGGAAAGGTCAAGGTGGACCTGACTTGATGCAGCAGATACAAAAGCAGTTCAGAAACATCAGGTTTCTCTCTCTCTCTCTCTCGCCTGGTATTATTGTTTGCTCGTGCATTTAGTTTCTTTCTGCATTTTTCACTGTGGTAATTGATGATGAACAGCATATCGGAAGAAAATTCTTTTATTCCTTTGAAAGCCATATGATATTGATTGACATGTTATTTCATCTTGTCCTCAATGAATTTTCCAGCTCAAGGAAGCTTGCTATTACGGTTTTTTTTTTTTTTTTTTTTTTTTTTTTTTTTTTTTTTTTTTTTTTTTTTTTTTTTTTTTTTTTTTTTTAAGTAGCTAGGTTACCTTGGTGATACTAAGGTATTCTTTTGCTATCTTTTGTGGATCTAGTGCAATAATGGATTGCGTGGGATGTGAAAAGTGTCGACTTTGGGGAAAGCTTCAAGTTCTTGGTCTTGGTACTGCTTTGAAGATCTTGTTTTCTGTGAATGGTCAGGAGAAGCTTGGTCAATCAGTAAGTATACTTCAATGAGAACTTGAACAAAAGGGTTTTTAAATCTTTACTCATATTGCTTCAACAAAAACTTACTATTGGCACTACAATCATCATCATTTGTTATTGTTGTTAATTTTAACCCTTTTGAACTTGCTTTCAGCTACATTTACAACGAAATGAAGTCATCGCTTTGATCAATCTACTGAACCGGCTTTCAGAATCTGTGAAGCTCGTCCACCAGATGGGGCCTTTGCTTGTAAAGATGGAGGGTCGACAAGTTGTTCCTTCAGTCAGTAAGCTAACTGCAACTCTGTAGAGATGGTTTATGTAATCTTTATAAGGAGCTTCTTATAGGTACACTGATGTGTTAGAGAAGAATCATAGATTGTTGAAGAATTTTATCTAGAAAAGGTCTGTACAAATAACAGATGCATATTTCCACAAGAAAAAACTACTTCTTTGAAGCTAATGAAAAGTATACTTCTGGAGACTATAGTTTTAGAACTACTCATTTATCAGTCAATTGGTTTTGGCAACTCTACAATACCAAATAAGCTTTGATTTCTTGCTGATAAGATGGGTAGAGAAGTGAATCTTAAAAAGGAATGAATCAAGCTGCCAAACACTTGAAGTTTAACACCTAACGAGTTTTCTTCATGCGCTTTGTGGGCCTTGCCATCTCTTTCCTTGTGTCTTCTGGAGCCTTAATCTCTATATGTGGCTGCAAGAATCCAAAATGATGCAAATTTATAACATAGTTCATTGATTACAAAAACCAGGACCAGAAATGAAGAAAGCATACCAATCAACCAACCATTATCTGCACAAACAAGTGGTACAGGAAATATCAAAAGAAAAAACCAATAGTGACCCCTTGAGGGAAGGCAGGAGGGTTGGTGTTACCGAGATTGTCTTAGGGTTAATAGTGCATTGTAGCATCAATTACAATACTAGACAAAGTGTAATGGATTACGTTAGTGCATTGAAGACACAAAGAAGGGGGAGACCAATTTTTCAACAGTAGAATTTGAAGTTCATCATTCTCAAGTATACATTATTATACCTCGGTCTACACTATACTCAGAAGAATTTATCCACCATCGCCAAACATATATGACATACGTATTTATTTGGATCACAGTGCACTACTTTCAGCAGCAATTTGGAATGAATCAATCATCATGTCAATACAGCATATCTTGTCATACTTCAAGGCCCTAAAGCTAAATCATCTTATCCATTCTGCACTACTTCATAATAAGATTCTATTTCTGGAAGTAGTGATTTTGAAAGTGTTCCTAGTGAAGCATTTATGCTAATTCGTTACTAAAAAATTTGGATGATCATTGCATGAGATTAATTGGAAACTACCTGGACTTTGAGACCCAAGTTTTTATATACTCCTAAAGACTAATAGAATTACAATTCGCATATTTTCTAAACCTTTGCCACATAAATATGAAGCTGTGTAAATAAACATATATATCACAATAGAGATACACTATTTGACATATAATAACACACAAAAGTCAACAAAAACACAAAAGGCTCCTGCTCTCTTATGAACTCAAAATTTGAGAAGAAAAAAAAATAACTACATGCAGAACTGCAGAAGGGGTGTTATACATTTTCGTTTATGAAAGGTAAAAGTGTAAAACAATAAACATGCATTACAATCTCACTAACCTCTTCAAATTTTCTTTGGAGTTCCAAAAGTTGTTGACAATATGTAAGGCACTCTGCATGGTATACGGCTGCCAAATCTTTTATCAATGCCTTCCTTCTAATAATACCAATCACTTCAAAATAACCAACAAAAAGCATACATTAGAATCGAAACAATAACCAAATATATTCCATAGATATTCTTCAACTTCAAATCCACATAATCAACTAATCGAGAATGCATTTCCCCATCCATCGAATAACACGCAAGTATAAATAAATAAAGCAAACAAGAAACAAAATAAAAAGGACACAACCTATCTAATTGTGTAGGGAGAAACAATGTGGAACCACTAAGATATATCATAATATTCCTTAGTCAATAACCAGACGGTGCCATATTGCTCTGGATAATACGTTTGTACTCTCCCACAAAACTAAAATTTGAATTCAGTGATATATACACTCTTTATAGCCATAAGTGCAGTCATTCACTTCAAATCGAAGAATTAATGCAAACAAATGATAACATTACGTCAAACCTAAAAGATTGGTAAAGCAACAAATGATAAAATTACATCAAAATTGCAGTTTATTAGCAAACTGAAAGAACGGAACAAACCCAAAATTGAAAGAACTAATCATCAAATCAAAAACTTGAAAACAATACCAAAGGGGGTTTATGGAGCGTGCGTAACATAGGGGTAATTTACCCTTCCTAAACTGTAGACTGGGTTCGAACCTCAGGTGCGTATCTCAGAATGGAACAAAAAGTAAAAGCAAGCTAATAGATGGAGAGAATTACTTCGGCTAGGGTCGAATCGAGGAGGAGGAGGTGCGTCTCTGGGAGGCTCAGCACTGGGCTCATCGGAGGTTGACGGTGGCGGAGGACGAGAATCATCGGTGGACGACGGCGGCGGCTGAGGAGGAGAGATGTGATTATGGAGTTGGGTCATCGTGATCCGCGAAGACCCCCTCTAACCTCTGTGAGTTCTGGCTGGAGTAGTAGCATTGCCTAGCTATGATTCGGGTCGTACCCGGATTTCCTCCGATCTTTTATTCATTGGATATTTGTCCAATTGAATTAATACCCAAAATGATTTTTAATAGAGAAAATGTACAAATAGTCATTGAACTATTTGGGCAATCGTTATGCTGTACATCCGTATGCACCATGCATGGTGCATACGGATGTCAAAACGACGTCGTTTTATTAAAAAAAGCGCGTCTCCCTTTTTAAAAAAATTCAGGTTCGATTCCTAGCAACAACATTATATTGTTCATTCATTCTGGAATTTTAGTTCATAGATTATGGAATTATAGTTCATTGATTATGGAATTATAGTTCATCGATTATGGAATTGTAGTTCATCGATTCTGAAATTTTAGTTTATAGATTATGGAATTTTAGTTCATTCATTCTGGAATTTTTAGTTCATAGATTAGATTATGGAATTATAGTTCATCGATTATGGAATTATAGTTTATCGATTATGGAATTTTAGTTCATATGTTGTTGCTGGGAATCGAACCTGATTTTTTTTTTTAAGGGGAGACACGCGTTTTATTAAAACGACGTCGTTTTTGCATCCGTATGCACCATGCATGGTACATACGGATGCACAGCATAATTTGCCCTATTTGGGGGTTAGCAATTAAGTCGTCGAACTCAAATAAACTCCAAATTGATCCATGAACCTGTAAAAAAAGTGCAATTAGCATTTTTAATAGGTTAACACCAAGTTACTGCTGACTAAGATGCCATGTGTATTTTTTATTTTTTATTTTATTATTTTTATTATCCTAATTAGCATTTGACAAAAAAAAAAAAAATACCCTAAGCATTTGACCCTCTTGACCAACACTACTGTTCAAATAAACCATACTTCTTTTCTTCTTCCTACTCTTCGTTGCTTTGTCGCGAACATCGAATCGGCTCCGATCTCTCCGGCTCATCTTCACTTTTCTCCGGAAAACTCTACAATAAATTGGTAATTTCTTCTCTACAATAAAGTGAGAAAAGCTCGAGAAGAAGAGGTAGTCAACCATCTGAATATCTTAATGATTTTTCCTTTTAATCATTGAACTACAAATTTTCTGAGCACTATTTTCTCGAGTTTATTTGAATAAATAAAGTATGCAGGAAGCAAGGCGAGCAAGAGAAGAAGGTGAGAAGAGGAGAAGAGAGAGGGATCATCGCTACAAGCGCCGAAGAAGGGTATCGTTCTTATTTTATCTGTCTTTACTCTTTATCTCTCCATAATTGTCTATAACATTTTCTGATGTAAACTCAAAAATTGTGTTATTTTCATTTCAGAACTGCCACTTGTCTTGGTTGTCTGATTTTTCTTCCCTTACTCTTTGCATTCCTTATTTTTTTCTAATAATATAGGATTAACTGGTTCCCTAAATATAATGTAGATTTCATCATGTAGTTTGTTTATAATATTGTTGATATGGATTGAGTGTTGCAATGTGCATACATGAGCATTATAGCAACTTTATGATTTGCTTGCATTTTTACTTAAGTAGTGTAGTTCAAATGGTATCTTCAAGTTGTATCATATTTGAAAAGGAGTCAAGAAATTGTTCTGCTTTTTGTGTCCTACCTTTTCTGAACCTGTTCTGGTCTAAGGTATGGTTATGCTTTGTTTAGGAGTTTTAACTAGCTTATGTCTATTAGGTGTGGTTTCATGACTTCAATATTTTAACAAGATTGAACAAATGCGCCTATAAATAGCGGCATGAATGCCATTATACTCAAAACATCTTACAGACTATTGATACAATTTATAGTAAGAAAGCTTGTAGAGTACAATGGTGCATGTCGGTGATATTGCCTACATTCATTGTGGAGCTAAGCCGTTGTGGTGCAGGATTAATATTTTCTCTTAGTTCAAGCATGCATTTATTCTCAATACTAGTTGATTGCAAATTTTAAATTCTCCAACTTGTGAGATGAATCATTGATTTTCTTCCCCACCCAACCTGCAATTACTTTTGGGTATTAGAATGAACATGTTAATTGGCAATCACAACCTAAGGATTGTGCTTAATTGTCGCTGTGATTTTAGAGCAGTATGCCAGTATATTAAGTTCCTTGCTATTCTGTATATTAGGTGTTCTGTGCCATTATTACATATATGAAATATGATGCTTTTCCCCCTAAAACTGAATTGAGTAGGATTTCCTTAACTTTGATGCATAATCCATGCAAAATCATTTTGCTTTCTTGGTTCATTAGTAGTGATGCATTATCCATAAGCTGTACTGCATTTGTTTTAGTTGCATTCTGAGCATTATAATCCATCCCTAATCCATCTCTGCAACAACAGTTACTTTGGTTTTGTTTTAGTTTAATTTATCATCTCTTCTATAAAGTTGTATGTATTGATGCAATAAAAGTTGTAAATTTGAGTCTTAGACTTATTACCTTACAATACCCTATAAACTAATTTTATGTATTCCATTTTACCATTTTCAGAATGTATGACATAGTAGATTTGAGAATTCATCATGGGGATAGTTTTGTGCAAGATCCAAGACTACGATATATAAATGGAGAAGTTGATGAAGTAACAACTGATCCCGATCTTATATGTGTACCTCACTTGATGAAGTTCATAGCACATGAGAGATATGGTAAAGTCGAAAGTCTATCTTACAAGTTAAGTATGGAGCTGTGAAGAAACTAATTGCAAATAAGAAAGAAAGCATTGGATGGAAGGTACATTGTTTATACAATTTTTTTTTTAATAATATAACATTACATTTGTTGGGATTTAAATTTGAGTGGTAAATTTTGTTGTTAGGTTTGATTTTAATGGAGATGATGGATATGAGATTAAAAAAGGTCGAAATCATTTCAAAGTCAGGCTTGAAAATAAGACATGTTCGTGTAGATCATGGGATTTGATTGGTCTACCTTGCCCTCATGCTATATGTGCCATCTTCGACAATGGCAGGAATATGGAGGATTATCTTGATCCATGATACTCAAAAGAAACATATCAAAGGACTTATGCACATGCTCTTCTACCGATGAATGGAGAACTCTTCTAGCCTAAAACAAATTGTGAAGAAATTTTGGCTCCAATCCCAAAAAAAAAAATGACAGATAGGCCAAAGAAGAAAAGAAATCGTGAGGAAAATGAAGGTTCATCAACTGCTAATAAGAAGACTCAACTAAGTAGGAAGGGTCGTATAATGAGATGTTCCATTTGTAGACAAGAAGGGCATACTAGAGCAAAGTGTGATTCTGTTGGAGGTGTTTTGGGTTAATGTTTTGGCAAAAGAGTTGTTTTGGGTTAATGTTTTGGCAGTACTAGATTAACAATATATTTATGCTTATCAAATGTCATAGTGTTGCAATTAACAATGTATTTTTGTATGGCAATGCAAATTATATTAACAATATATTAATTTCTGCTTAGCAATGCAAATCTATATTCTATATTAACATTATATTTTTACTAGTTAGTGAATAGACAAACTTTGTATTATATTATGCGCGTAATTTCTTAAATATTAAAATTTTAATGTATTTTTTCTGATTCAAAAATGCCGCAAACAATCGCGAAAGAGAGAAAATAAAAAATGTCGCAAACAACCGCGAAAGAGAGATAAAGCGCAAAATAGAGAAGCTAAAGTTAAGGGTCAAATGCTTAGGGTTTTATTTTTATTTATTTATTATTTTTTTTTGTGTGTCAAATGTTTATTAGGATAATAGGATAATAAAAATAATAAAATAAGGGAAAAGGGTCAAATAGGCCCTCGAACTTTAGCTTAAAAGTCAATTAGGCCCCTAAACTTTTTAAAGGTGCAATTACATCCCTCAACAATTCATTTAAGTGCCACCTTCCAGCGAATTTTCCGGCAAAAAAAAATAAATTAATGACCTACTATCACAAGCCATTAGGGTTCAGGCCACCTTCCAGCGAATTTTCCGGCAAAAAAAAAAAAAAAAGTGACCGGCGAAATTTCCGACAAAAAAGTGACCGGCGAAATTTTCGACAAATCTGGGTCGGTTGCTGGTCACTTTTTTTTTTTTGTCGGAAAATTCGCCGGAAGGTGGCATGAACCCTAATGACGTGTGTAGCAGGTCATTAACTTGTTTTTGGGCTTCATTGCACCTAAATGAATTGTTGATGGGTGTAATTGCACTTTTAAAAAGTTTAGGGGCCTAATTGACTTTTAAGCTAAAGTTCAAGGGCCTATTTGACCCTTTTCCTTAAAATAAAAAATAAAAATTACACATGGCATCCTAGTCAGCAGTAACTTATTGTTAACCTGTTAAAAATGTTAATTGCACTTTTTTTTGCAGGTTCATTGATCAATTCAGAGCTTATTCGAGTTCGATGGCTTAATTGCTAACCCCCAAATAGTTCAATGGCCTATTTGTACCTTTTCCCTTTTTAATATGGTGATTTTTTTCGATTTCGTCCTAAACTATTTTTATGATCCAATGTAACCCCAGACTTTTATGATTTTACTGAATGTAATCCTCTAGTTGTTATATCGTGCACCGCGGTTCATAATCGATTATGCACCGCACGTCAAAATGAACCGGTATGCTTTGCTGTGTTCTGCATATCATATAAAAATACAGTCTATGCCTTTTAATCCCAGAGCCTTCCGTTTAGGTTCCGGCAGCCGTACCACGGCCCTGCATCCCCAAACTTTCAAATAATTCAAGTTTGGTTTTCTTTTGTGCCAAAGTTCATAGGGAGTTACCATATTTCTTTTGTTAGGAACTCTGTTGAGAATATAACATGCAGTTAGCATGGCTTCTCCCCAGAAACCTTCACTCAGACCGGAAACTGATAACATGCAGTTTACCATTTCTTTGAGTACTCTATTTTTTCCTTTCTGCTACACCATTTTGTTGTGGTGTATAAGGAGCTGTGGTCTCATGAATGACACCAACAGATTGGAAAATTAATGGGTCATAATATTCACCACCTCTGTCAGTACGTAAAATTTTTACTAACCGACTAGTTTGCAATTCCACCTCCAATTTAAATATTTTAAATTTTTCTAAGGCTTCATCCTTAGAATGTAGGAGGTACACATAGCTGAGTCTTGAATAGTCATCAATGAATGTGACTATATATTTTTAATTTTCCAAAGATGGGGTGCTATGAAAATCACACAAGTCACTGTGAATTACTTCAAGTAAAATTGAATTCCTTTTTATACTAGGAAAAAGATTCCTAGTTATTTTATTTAACATGCATGCACTGCACTGTTCCATGTTTAAATCAAAGGATGGAATTAATCCATCTTTAGCCATCTCACATAAACATTTATAGTTTACATGACATAAACGAAAATGCCATAAAGAAGATGAACATATTGTATACACAGAACCAACAATATTATTAATATTTAACTTAAACATATTGTTTGACAAGAAGCCTTGGCCTACAAAGATACCGGTCTTGGATAAAATAAATCTATCTGCTTCAAACACAAGTTTAAAACCACACCTGTTCAATACAATGCCAGAAAAACTAAATTTTTGGTAACATCTGGGGCATGATACACATCTGTGAGTGTCAACTTCTTTCCTGAAGTAAGCAACAACTCAACTTGTCCAATCCCTTTGACTTTCACCATGGAATCATTTCCCATGTACAGGCTTGGACCATCCTCCAGACTTTTGTAAATCTTGAAAAGATTAACATCTATGCAGACATGTCTGGTTGCCCCAGTGTCAACCCACCACGAGTCATCAGTCAGCACGACACAAATTTCAGATATCATAGCAATGAAATTTTCAGTACTATCAGAAACAAGATTAATTATATTACCTTTTTTCCATTGGCCACTTCCCTGGCCATAGTCACCAGAAATTTTACCTTCCATTTGTGCCTTTCTTTTCTTCCAAATTTCACAGTCCTTTTTAAAGTGTGGATCGTTGCACACCTAGCATGAAACAGATGCTTTTCCTTTTCGTTTTCCTTTCTTCTTAAACTTTGAAGAATTTTTGGCCTTTCCCTGCTTCCCTTTCCCTTTATGGTTCCCACTTGATTTTCCTTCATCAACATAGTTGATGACAGAACATGAAGCCCCGACAACTTTTGCACTACCTGCATTCTTACTTTCCTGCAGTCTGATTTCCTCCTCAACCCGAAGGTCGACCCCTAACTGTTCCATGGTAAGAGCTTCCTTTTTATACTTTAAGGTACGTTGTACCTTTTTCCAGGAAGGGGGCAACTTATGAATGATACTGGCTATGGCAATGGAATCATCCATATTCATATCATGTTGCCTCATTTGCCCAAGTATCCTGACAATCTCATGGAATTGTTCCATTACTAGACGATTGTCCACCATTTTATAATCATTGAACTCACTTACCAGGAATTTCTTACTGGAGGCATCCTCAGATATTTAATTTGCTTCAAGTACATCCCTGAGGTCCTTTGAGGATTTCTCATACTGATAAATATCAAAGAGGGTGTCAGACATACCGTTCAGAACATGGCCGCGGCAGGCAAGGTCATCATTTTCCCATTTGTGTCTTTGGCGAATTGCCTCGAGAGTCTCATCTTTCCGTTCCTCCGGCTTATGCCACGTTTTGAGCCGCAAGGAGGAACTTCATCTTCTTCTGCCACCTACGAAAGCCCACGCCTTCAAACTACTCCAACTTAGGAAAGTTGGTTGCAAAGTCCAGAAGTCCAGAACTCATCCTTCCTCAAAAACAGATTTTAAAGCTTATAGTTTGTTAGAAAAATTGAGTGTTTGATGATAGGGAAGTGAGGTAACGAGATCTTAAGGCGTGTAATCACTTTTCTATAAGATTTAAATCTCTCATATAAAGCAACAAGGTCCAAGATTCAATCTTATGGGATACAAGAAGATGATGAAATTCTTAAGTTACTTTGTTTAAGAACTTCCTGTAGAAAAGTAGTACTGTGAAAAATCTCAGATTAATGCAAGTTTATTGCATGTCTATCTATCTTCAGATGTTTCTCAAAAGTATTTATAAACGAAAATATGATTGTTGGAGAAGTTACATGGAAGTTTTCTGCAGTTTTAAAAACTTATCTTCCATAAAATATATCTTAAATGATATATTTATCATAAGAGAATATTAATTACATAAATCATGTTCAACATGAATATATATGTAATTATGAACCTTTGTAAGGTTGTGAACCGCATGCAAATAACTGTGCAGATTATAATAATATATATATTATAATTTTCTAGCACACTTTTGCATATAAGTTTGGAAAAATTGGAAGCTCATGCTGTGCAACCATTTTTCAAATGAAATAAACAATTCCCCTATATTGGGAATAATCCCCGAATGTTGGAAATAGCCCCCCAATGTTGGGGAATAATCCCCCAATGTTGGGAATAGACAAAGCCTTCCAACAAACTCATTCTCCAATTAACTTTCTACCATACTAAAATAATATTTATAACTCCTCAACTCTAAATATTATTTTAAACTTTCATGGTAGTCCATCTGAAATATTAATCTTCATTACTATATAAATTTTCAACATTGTTGATTTGTGTACTGTACTGCAATGTCCATCATTTTTTTTTTATTACGAAGATAAGTATAGTGCTTAATGCTTAAGAATTCAATTTTGCTAATTGGGATGATTGATCACAGTTGTTTATTGTTGATTACAATGAGTTGTTATTGATTCATTCTTTCTAGGCTTTCCCATCTTGATTGTCATTTAATATTTTGGTCTTGGTTATTCATTTATTTTCATGAATTTAAATTATTTTGCATTTTATTATTGATAATTGTTTCTAGTACTTTGAATTATTGAGTTAATTAATTTTAAGATTTTAAATTGCATTGTATCAATTTCCTATGGATTCGACCCTTGTCTTTGTACACTATCACTACAATTGACTCGTGCACTTGCGAGAGCATTAATTAAAATTGTCCATTAATTTTTGACGCTGTTGGCGGGAAATTTATTTATTTTTTAATTTAATTTTCTGTTTTTTTTTTTTTTTCATTTCCTTAATTGCTTGATTTTTTTCAGTATCCCATCATTCTTGTCATCTTTTTCATTTTTTTAATATCCATTAGTCCATTTAAAAACTGTTTTACATTTGGTTTTGTTTTTCCTATTCGGATCCCTTTATTTTTTTTTGAAAATCGGATCCCTTTATTTATTTTTCCCATTTCGTAATACTTGCTTTCCCTTTATTTATTTTCCCTGTTTTTTTTCCTACCTCTTTATTATTATTGTCATTTGTTTTTTTTTTTCTTTTAAATCTTGTTTATTTATTTACTTCATTAGTCCATTTAAAAATTACTTTTATATTTGTTTTTGGTTTCCCTATTCCCTTAAAAAAAATTCTCTCTCTTAATAAGCTTGATTTTTTCTCTCTCTATTTACTTTATAATTGTTGCTATTTCTTTCACTTTTCAATTTAATTCTACCTTGCTTTTAAAAAAAATCAAAATTTGAAAAAATTCTAGTTTTTAAAAAAATGTATGAAGTTAATTCAATTGCTGATTTGAAGATTCAAATGTTTGCGTTCTTAGATGAAAAAATAGATCACTTGTGTTCTATGATGGCTATGAAGCAAAATAATACATATATGATTGGAGATAATGATAATAATTTTGACCAAGCCAATGTAATGAATAGTTTTAATCAAATGCCCAGAAATGATAATTCTTATAATTCGCGTTGAGAAAACACCCTAATTTTTATTGGGGTGATAATCAAAATGATTTTCAACCAAATCATTTTAATTTTTCTTAGAATGATAATCATAATGATTTTCAATCAAGTTATCCTAATTTTTGGGATAATAATCAAAATCACTTTCAATCTAGTCATCTTAATCTTTATTGTGATTATAATCAAAATAATTTTCAACCAATTGACCCACCCCAACTTGAAAAACCATCTTTGGAGGACTCCTTGAATGATTATATACAGGCTGGCAATAGGCGGCAAGAAGCACATGATCAATGGTTGCAAAAGCAACAAGAAGCTTATGAACACCAAATGCAGCAAGAAGCAGATGAACAACGATTCCAACAAAATGAGGCTACCTTTAAAAGATTGGAAGTACATTTAGAGCAAATTACTAAATTTGTGCAAGGGCATGTGCTAGGTAAGTTACCTAGTCAATCCGAGAAAGCTAAGGCTATGAGAAATGGTGAAATGATTGAAAACAAGTTAAACAATAATACTACTTCTAAACAAACTGAAATAATTGAAAAATTGAATAATGATGTTGATGATATTATTGTTGAAAATGATGAACCTCAATTGCATAAATCTGATAATCCTTATCTGTCTCCCATGCTTTATGTGCCCCTAATCCCTGCTAATGAAAGCTTTGAAAATACCAAACCGGTGCAAAATGAATATTTTGAGGAAGCCTTATGTACCACCCAAGCCTTCTGTGCCCCAGTTCATTATCCAAATAGGTTCAAAAGTTGTGTGTCTGAAACGGTAAGTGCAACGCTACAAAAAGAATTGCCCCCAATACTTATTGATGCTAAGAAGACAAATTAACCAAAAATGTCCTTGATGAAACTATTGAGTTTCCAATTTTTACATCTATAAATTTTTCTGATAGATCTGACCAAGTTGTTGCAGTTAAGGAGTTGAATTTTGCTAATGATGGTAAGTTGGGGTTCGATAAACTCAAAAAAAAAATCTTTTTAATGGCGTTGATAAATCAGTTTCTTCTTGTTATTCTAAAATTGCACAAATAAAAAAAAATTAAAAAAAAAAATTAATTTTCTTATGTATATTTTTTTAAACCTTTTTATTTTAAAATTCTAACATTAGCTTGAGTTTTACCCTTATGAGTCTTTTAAATATTCGCTGATAGAAATAATGCATGTTTTTGTCAACTCTTAGTGTGTATATTGCATGTTGCCAGTTATTAATTTCTTTATTTTTATATTTTGCTACTAGACACATGCAATATACACACTAAGAGCTGACAATATTTAAAAGACTCATAAGGGTAAAGCTCAAGCTAATGCTAGAATTTTAAAATAAAAAGGTTTAAAAGAAAATGTATATAAGAAAATTAAAAATTTTGAAATTTTGAAATTTTTTCTGATTTGTGGGTGAAACCCCTTCCCCACATTTATTTTCGACATTGTCCCCAATGTTGTGAGATGAAAGAAAAAAAGACAAAGAGAGTACTCCTTTATTAGATTTTTTATTTGTGCAGAATTCTCATATGGCCCAACAGTATGTGAATGAAAAGAAGAAACTGATTTATGATCAATGCCATTCAAAAGATTTTCTTTTTGGAGTGCAACTCCAACTGATTTTTCTGTGCAAGATCCAACCCCTTAACTGCAAAAACTTGTTTAGATTTATCAGGCAAACACAGATGTAAAAATTGGAAACTCAGTAGTTTCATCAAGCACACTTTTGGTCAATTTGCCCAGTTGAACATCAATTGAGATTGGGGACAATTCTTTTTGTAGCTCGACACTTACCGTTTCAGGCATACAACTTTTGAACCTATTCGGAAATGAAACTAGGAGCACATAAGGCTTGGGTGGTACATAAGGTTCCTCTTCCTCAAAATATTTATTTTGCACCGATTTGGTGTTTTCAAAGCTTTCATCAACAGGGATTGGGTGCACATAAAGCTTGAGAAGCACATAAGAGTTATCAGATTTATGCAAATTGAGGCTCATCCTTTTCAACAATAATATCATTAGCATCATTGTTCAATTTTTCAATCATTTCAGTTTTGTTAGAAGTGGTATTATCTTTTAATTTGTTTTCATTTATAGCTTCCTCAAGTTGAATAGGTAACTTACCTGGCACATGCCCTTGCAAAAATTTAAGAATTTTATCTACATGTACTTCCATTCTTCTCATGGAAGCCTCATAAAATCATTCAAAAAATCTCTAAAGATAGTTTTTCAGGTTGGGATGGAGTTGGATGAAAACTATTTTGATTATTATCCCAATAAAAATTAGGATGATTTGGTTGAAAATTATTTTGATTATCATCCCAACCCGAATGATAAGAATTAAATTATTTTGATTATCATCCCAACCTGAATGATAAGAATTATAAAGCGGGTCATGCATAGGCCTTTGATTAAAAATATTCATTGAATTTTCCTGTACAAAATCATTATTATAAGAATTATTTCTGTGATTTACAAAAGGATTATTTTGGTTTGGACTTAAAAAAGAGCACATAGTTTTAACTTGATTAGTTAAATTTTTTATTTGAAAAGTCGATGTTGGGATTAACTGCATACATTTTTTCAAAAAGTAAGTTTTCAAATTTTATTTGTTTGTTTGTTTTTTGTTTTGTTTTGTTTTGTTTTGTTTTGTTTTTTTTTTTTGTTTTTTTTTTTTTTTTGTGAAAGAAAAAAAAAATGAATGGAGTAATGAATCAAATAAATAAGCAAGATTACAAAGAAAAAAAATAAATGACAATAATAATAAAGAGAATCAAACAGGTATTAAGATATGGGGAAAATAAATAAAGGGAATAGAGAAAACAAGAACAAATATAAAGCAGTTTTAATTTATAAATAGATTGATGAGTTAAATAAATAGCAAGATTAAAAATGAAAAAGATGAGATGACAAGGAAAAAAATCAAGCAATTAAAGTAAGAAAGAGACCAGAAAATTAAATTGCAAAATAAACAATTCCCCAACAACAACGCCAAAAATTGATGGACAATTTTAATATAGTCCTTGTAAATGCATGAGGAGGTGGTAGTGATAGAGTGCAAAGCCAGAATTGACCCCACGGGGAAATGATACAATGCAATTTATAACTTAAAAATCATGCAATTAAAACAATGCAATTTAAAAAAATAACTGGAAGGAACAATTGCAGAAAAATTAAATTAAGAGTATGTAGAAAACTTAAGAAAAAATAATCCAAAAATCAAGGAACAAAAAGGACATCGCAGACAACTTGATTGATATGTAACAGAATGATGAAATTCCAGGGAAGCATTTTAATATCAACACTGGCAAATATAATAAAACTTAGTAGCAATTTGACACTAAAATCAATTATCAATTAGTAAATATAATAAATCTTAGCAAAGAAACCATTAAAAGCAATTTAATAAAGCTAAGCAATTTGTCACTATGCTCAATTAATGTCCACGTAACAATTTGGTAGGGAATATCCCGACCGACATAGCTTTACCTCGATCCGTGTGTCTTCGTCCTTTTCTTCTTGTCTTTGCAGGTAACAGGTCGGGTTTCTTGTGAAAGACCCGGTCGGGACATGACCGGGAGTTACCCGAGCGGCAGTGTCGACCACCGAGCGATAGCCCTTAGGCGAGAGAGCTGACGAAGGACACGTGGCGACTCCATGCAACAACAGGCAGGGCACCCGAGAGGATGACACGTGGTGGCTACGTGGAGGACATGCCGAGCGGCCGGATTTATGTCTTCGACTCCGCGGCTATAAATATCCGCGATAGCTACAGTGTGGGGGACTTTTGAACGATCGATAGGTTGTTGTTAGAGAATCCCGACCGCAGCCAGTCGGTACTCAGAGCAACCAAGTAGATTGTACTTAGGGACTTCACCGTGATCAATAAAGATATTTACTTGCTTTAATTGGTCTCGTGTTTGCTTAATTATTGCTTACGTGGTAATTAACAGTATCATTTTGGCGCCGTCTGTGGGGACCCGTACAAGAAAGCTATTGTCTTGACGAGCACCCGATCACTCATTCACCATGTACCCGTGGGTACAAAACCTCTTTGCCGACGATCAGGCGGATGCAGCGAGCTCATCCGACCACCAGGCAACACAACAACAAGGTCAGACGATGGACCTCAACCTCAATCTCTCACCACCACATCCATCCAACACATACCCGGCCGCCCAATAGCCGGTGAACTACATCCAACCGGGATACCCAACACCCGGTCAGCAATATCAACAGCAGCCGATGACGTATCCCGGCCAGTATCCATACCCGGTCCCACCTCAACCGTACGGGTATTGGCCAGGCCAGCCGATGTATTACACGCCCCCGGTTGGCTATCCACCATACACGCCTGCGTACACGGCTCCAGCCGCCGCCCCTCCAGTTCACCCGGCCGCACAAGCAGAGCCGCAGCATCAGCCCGCTTCCCGGGCTCGACGCTCGGCTCGTTCACGGTTGGGGTCGGGGGGTGCTGATGCGATGGAGGCACCACGGCAGGCCCAGCAAGCAGCCGAGGTTCCCGCTCCAGCGGAAGACCCTGAAGAAGTTGCCCGAGCGGTAGCTTTCGATCGTCTTCGACCGGCGATGCGACAACGTTTGGGGCCCCAAGACCCGAACCGGCAGTCGGAAGACGTACAGATGCAAGAAGCCAGCCAGGAGGCTTCATCCGGGCATAGCGGGTCGAGATCTCATCGACGACGACGTGCTCGGGACGCAGCCCAAGCTGCCCAAGCCGCCGAGCTCAA